TGTGTGTGTGTGTGTGTGTGTGTGTGTGAGCTCAGCTCAGTAAAGCTTCATCTCTAATAGGATGAGCAGCCGCTCGCTCGTGTAGCTGAATGCGCCGCTCATTGTTCGCTTCGCCGTTTCTCCGGGGTTTCCGCGGATCGATCGATCAGTGATCGGGATTTCTCATGGATCTATCGATGTGAAGACGCTGTCACACGCGGTACGTACATGAGAACAGCGCTTGAAGTTGAGCGAGAGCCGCTCCGTTTATGACAATGATGATGATGTTTAGAACGATATATTGTTTCTTTCTGTGCCGCGTTACTTTGATCTGCGGCGCGGAGGGCTGGTGACGTCACTCCGCTAAACTTCTGTAATGCGCGCGTATAAACTCATTCATCAGCTGAATGCGAGTGTGGAATATAAGGGTGTGACGGAGAGCAAACAACATCGTGCTTTGCTGATTTAAATAATTGCACTCATCAGTAATAAGCGGCTGAGATGGAAATACATGTCATTGCAACGGAACAAATGTGTGATTGTTGCAGTTTTGCGTGTATTTTCTGAATGCACGGACAAATATAAACACAGTCTGATGGATATGATGTGATTCGGTCATTTGCTTCTGATGCATGAAGTTAGTATTGTTCTTATTCTTGAGTATTACTGTATCTCCAGTGTCTCTAACAGGTTTAAGTCTCAGTCAGGTTAGAACTGTGTTCAGTTACTGAAGAACATCACATCAGTGTGAAACCTCATCTGGAGGTTTGTGAAGCCGGTCGCTCTCCTTTGACCCCGGAGGTCATGTAGGGTGTGTCCGTGTCAGCCGTTTCTACCACTTCATTCCTAAATGAACGCAATCCGACAGACTTCTCCTGTAGCAATGAAACAGCATCTGTTTGGGCAGGACGGCAGCGTTTAGTCCGTCTCAGCGGTGAGCGCTTGGGTCTGGAGGCTCAGAATAAAATAGTGTTTGTTAATCTCATTGTCTGCTGTTGGTTGAGTGTTTTCTCCCTGTGAGATGGCAGGCGGCCACGCGTCTCGACCGAGCCAAGATTCCACGACTATCAGCGCTCTGAATTCACAGATGCATTATTTCAGGTGTTTTATCTTGAAACGCTGTGGTTCTGCCTCAGCCGCTGAGCATCAGTGTCAGACTTCAGATGATGTATTACATGTAAAAACACTGAAGACGGTGTCTGAAGATCTGCTTTTGCGTTGATCTGCATTAAACTCGGTGGTTGACTGATATTGATATTTTGATGGCCGATATCTTAGAAAGCACATATATATATGATATATCATCACACTGTTTAACTTAAAGTTAAATAAAAACAAATGCATAACAATTGCTGAAATTAAATCTATATTTATTTCACGTAATATTTACTAAATTATATAACTTGAAAATGAAATTTAAAAAAAGGAAATCTGTGAAATAAAATAAAGATTTCCCCACTTCTGACATATTGTCCAAACAGAAAAATATTGATAATTACAAAAAATTCGAAATATCGGCCGATATATCAGCAAGGCACTAATTATAATTCATAGCGCAATGAATCATTTGTTTCTGATGGATCCTCCAAAACACCCCGGCATGGTTTCTGACCTGCATCCTCATCATCCACCCCTGCATTTATTCAGATTTAATCACGTTTCTATTATTGCACGTCTTTTTTGTTAAGGTTAGCAATCAAGTTCATTTTCAGGAAAAGATTAGATAGCAGGGAACGTGTTTTTATTCCGTTCCTGGTGCATTAAAAAGATCGTGTTTGTGAAAATGAAATTGATCTCATGTATCTGCTAGAAGGGAATGCGACTCTGATGCCAGCTCTGAATCAACATAAAATGGAGAAATCTTCCTTATATTGCATTCAAGATCACATCGTGTAATCATTGTTTTAATGTGCTCATCCTTTCTGCTTAAATAATGAATAAGTGACATTAACTAGCATAAACTGTACATTTATGCGATATGGGCATGACTTTGACTCAGTCACAGAAAATGAATGAATGAATGAAGCATGCATACAGCTCTTTTCTTACGCACTACTCTTAAATTGTAATGAAGAAACGTTTGTTTTGTGTGAAGCTGCTTGCTCTGTGGAAAGCGCTTGAATTGAAGTGCATTGGCGTAGAAATGCCGTCCTCTGATGAAGCAGTGAATTATGAGGTGAATCAGTGTTTTGATGTGATTGTAAGCAGGGCATCTGACGTGCTCTTCTGCACAAAGCCAATGAGAGCGGCATTGAGCGTGACTGATGGCTGTTTGTCACACCAGCGAGCCTCAATAATCGCACCGGCGTGTGTTTACATTTTCTCTGCGGAGGCCAGGATTCACTCAGTCTGAATTATTGATGACGGCCAATGAATTGCACTCAATTATGTTAAAGGAGCGCAGCGTAAATCACAGACTCAGAAATGCTGTCGATAGCTCTCATCTATGATTCATGTTTAATGCATGAGCCGGCTCTGGCTGGCCACATTACTGAGTAATTGGAACATTTAAGTGGATTATTGTGCGTTTGAAGAAGGAAAATTCACGTTTCTGTCTTTTTAGATGATAGAAAAACAGCATTGTCACATTCTGCTTTGAGTCTCAGGTCTTGAATGGGTTTGATTGTTGATGCTCCTATAAGGAACTTTAGTGAGAGGTTTAAAACAAATCCTTTGCTCTTTTAAAATCACTCATGATGTTTAATTCTGGTAATATTTATGGAGAAATTGTGCTCATCCAAATGGAAAAATAAAGAGTAAATGTCTGCATGCTGATAGTAACGTTTATATTTCAGTAAAGATATTTCAATATCTAGATATTTCAGTATCTTTCCTAAAATATCTTTGTTTTATTTTAAATACATACACAACATAAGTGTGGTTTTCCGCATGAAAATAGCTAAAAAAGCTGCCATGCTGTTAAACAAACAATACAATACAATGCAACTTGGGTTTATAACAGTATGCAAACATTTACATTTTACATTTAAAATGATTGATGCTGCTGTGTACCTGTTTATTACAGGTACACAGCAGCATTGGCATAATTTGTATTACTATAGAAATAAAAATAAAGATTAAAAAGCAGTAGTTTAAGGTCAAGTTTATGAGCGGAAGTACAGAAATCAGACTGATCAGCTGGATGTGTTTAGTGTTTTTGAGAAATCTGAACTCTTTCTTCAGTCGTGTTGTTTGGAAGGAAGTGTTTAGAGCGGGAAAGCAAATCTATAAGTGTTTGTCCTGTAAACACGAGTCTGATGACGACAAACTTCAGAGTGTGTGTGTGTGTGTGAGAGAGAGAGAGAGAGAGAGAGAGAGAGAGAGAGAGAGAGAGAGAGAGAGAGAGAGAGAGAGAGAGAGAGAGAGAGAGAGAGAGAGAGAGAGAGAGAGAGAGAGAGAGAGAGAGAGAGAGAGGGACAGGACATGTGTCTCGTCCCCAGGCCGGCGTTTGGCACTGCCTCTCTCATCTATTAATCATGGCTACTGCTTTCTTATTCTGTTGCCATAGTTTCAGGCTGAAACACAGTTGGTGTGTGTGTGTGTGTGTGTGTGTGTGTGTGTGAGGGGCCATGGGACGTTACAGACCAGCAGAGCTGCTTAAAGGGGCCACGCTGGACAATCATGTACAGACACAGACTGATAGTCTGATTGTTGCTCGTCACGCTCGTCCTGCATTTTAAGAATAAAAAAAAAAACACTGAGAAGGTACTGGTATTTTCCTGCCAGAACATTATCTGTTAAGTTTACAGACATTTCCTTAACCCTGTATTATGTTGTGGGTCAAACTGAGTTGTAGGAATTACTGGTTAACCGAGGATATTTTCTGTGACATTTTCTTTTTAGATTTACTATTTAGAAATAGTTCATGTTTTTTGAAAAAGAAAAGTAAAAAAAAAAAAATTATCATACATTCTGGGTTTTTTGGTAAACATAAATTTCGTATGCAGAATTATTTGAACATAATACAAGAGTTAACCCTAAAACTAACACAATGCACAATTTAATCATATTAACGGTATGGTTATAGGATCATTTTAATCTCTGAACAAACATGTTTATGCTGCTGTACTCTGGATTCTGTAACGGCTGTCAAGCTCAGGCTCTACTTGTTTTAAAGGAATAGTTCACCTAAAATTATCATTCTGTCATCATTTACTCTCCCTCATGTCGTTCCAAACCTGTACGACTTTCTTTCTTGAGTGGAACACAGAAGTAAATATTTTGAAGAGCCTTGGAAACCAAACATTGACTTTCATTATGTGGAAAAAACACTGAGACATTCTTCAAAATATCTTCTGTTGTGCAGTCATACAGGTTTGGATCAACATGAGGGCGAGTACATGAAGATTTGAGCGCTGCCCGTAGATCCTCACCTCGCTGTGGTTGTTTTTAGGGAGTCATGTTACTAGTTTCAGAACGTTCAAAGAACATTCAAAAATAACGTTCCCATGATGTTTGCAAAATGATCAAATGAAATGTTTCTTTTCATTTGAATATTCAGATTATGGTTTTTGGAGTTTCTGTTTTCTTTTTTTCTGAAATGTTACAGTTGGACGTTTTTCTAACATTTTTAAAATGTTACTATTTGTTTTAGAACATTCAGAGAACATTAAAAGTAACATTTCCATAATATCTGGAAAATGATCAAATGTAATGTTCCCATAACATTTATATAACCAAGAATTTTTTTTTTTAAACATTAAAAAAAGGACATTTTGAGTGTCCAGAGAACATGCAATTCAATTCAATTCAAGTTTATTTGAAAAGTGCTTTTCACGATACCAATTGTTGCAAAGTAGCTTTACAGAAAATATTAAGTTTCTACATCATATTTAGGAGTAGGTTACAGTGGTGACTATGGCAGAAGTGTACAGTAAAAATCATGAAGTTAGTTACAAATTACACGTAATCAAACAGACGGTGAACACTATTAACTGCAATGATTATATGCTGCGATTAAACTTTGCGAACGCAAATACACTGCAAAAAATGCTTTTCTTAGATTTTTTTGAAAACAAGACTAATTTTTACTTGTCTAGAAAATCCTTCTTGATTTAAGAATTTTTAGATATTTTGGCTGAAAACAAAACTAAATTAAGTGAGTTTTTGCCTGAAACAAGCAAAATAATCTTGTTTTCTGTTTGAAATAAGATTATTTTGCTCACCCCATTGGCAGATTATTTTGCTTGTTCTAAGTTTTCTAAAAAAAAAAAATCTGAA